CTTAACAGTTTCCATAGAAGTGAATGATTGTTTCAGTATTTGTGTCTGCCATTTATATCCGCTATCTTAAATTATTAAAATCTGACATCAGATTCGTAATTAGCAACTCAAAGAACCCATAGGTACCGACTTTGGAAAAAATTCAACAAAAATTTGTGCTATAAAACGTTGTTAGTGTCTCATTTTCTTAGTAGTTGGTAACCCCTTTGGCGCATATTTCTGAAACCAATCGCAAGCTCAACGTAAAACTGTTTTGTGAGTAATGTTTCATCATAAGCTATTATTTGGCATAAAATTCGATTCCAAATCGAAGACCGAAAAACAGGCATTTTTTGCGGTTGTTCTTTTAAATACAGTTATATCATAATTATACGAAAAAATACACCTTTGGCGGTCCGAAATGACACTCAAATTGAATCTTAATCCTCAAGTTGGAAGTTTATTTGGGAGTTAACACTCAATTAGGTGTTATTTCGAATCGCCAAGAGTGTATTTTTTCGTAAGAGCTCTCTTTGGCTTTGTTCAAAATACATAAAAACTTTTTAAATATCCTTTAAATATACAATTATATTACATATACAGGGTGTTTTGGGCCTAACGCACCACCTGCTAATTACAAATTCTTGAAGTAATTTGGAGACAAAAAGTCTAACATCAAAACGTCGAGGCTATAATAGAGTTTTTAAATTAGTAGCGATTAAAGTTCACTAATTACGGAGCTGACAATTCGCGCACTCAGGCATGATAATATTAGAGCACTAGAAACGTAGGTATTCGCGTCCATCATTTTTATTCCTTTTCCCAATCATTGCTCTATCTTCATTCCATCACTGAATCGGGTATGTGAAGTTAGCACCCTAATTATAGTACTCAGGAATTCTGATTAGAGTTCCCGTTTCTTTTTGACGAGACAAAGAGTTCTATATAATTTATAACAAGAGTTCCGTTTAATAAGCATTTTTAAACAATTTTTTAAAAATGGGGTGCTAACTTCTTATCGAAAATCGAGATCCAATAGTTCTGAGCGGCCCAATAGCTTCATTTCGTGAATACCTAGAGTTCCTGATACATAAAAAAAATTTTTGAAAAATAAAAAAAAATTAAAAATTTTTGAAAAATCAATTTTTAGA